GTAACAGATTTGTGTATAATCATATTATTTCAAAGTATAACTCGACATTCTTTTACTTGCCTCTATATATTTGTACGACTTGAGTCAAAAAATTATTCCATGAAAATGTAGATAGGTTTATACATTCAAAGTATGTATAATTTGAGTTGAAATATTAATTAATGTAGTAACAAAGATAAATACTTATAAAAATTACTAAATAGCTAGTTGCTTCATATTAGATTAATGTTCACCAATATTCACACTTAATGGATAACGTAAGTCCACATATATTCTTGATTTGTACCCATTTTAAAACTATCAGAAAATAATTAGCGGTTGTTTTAACCACTCTTAAGATTTGAAAGAAACTAGTAATCATTAACTCGTAAGTTGTAAGTTATAACCTAAAAACAAATAGTTGTGGTTTTGATTTTATTCGGAAAATTAATAATGAATAATTTTACTGTGACACAAATTTTCACGAGTAACATGTAAAAACAAAACTGTACATAGAGCCACGGGTCTTTAATATTTTGTCCCCCTTTTAATCGCGTATATTCCAGCAATTAATCACTCGTAAGTTTTGAACTTTTGAAGGTTCGTGTGGTTAGTTTCACCGTCACCAAATGTATATAGAAATTAAAGAGAAAAAGAATTAGAAAAATTTGGTAGATTTTATTTACTTTCGCATGAATAATAAACCGATATTTTGTGGTGTATAAACTAAAAACCAGAATTGTAAATGATGTAATCCTATATAATTATAGTTAGACGTAAACTTATATGAAGAAGCGACAAGATGAGTTTAATTACCAAAAGAAGTGTTTTTGGTAAAAAAGATAAGGAAAACGAATTTGGTCAGACATTTACGGCTGTCCACTGCTACAATACGCACATTCACAGCTCATACGCACATGTAACGCTTTATTATTAACCACATGCAAAATCTAACGCTCACATTCACGTGTTTTTAGTACATACGTTTAATATATATACTCTCTTTTTTGGGTTAAATTACTACAAAACTTAACCCAAAATTTGTTGGGTTGAATGAGAGACCGATAGCGAAAAAAAAAAAAACTACAAAATTCTAAAATAGGATCAAAGTGTAGTGTAAAAAAAAAGAGTACTTGATGGAGGATGTGTTAAGAAACTTAATATTTTACGTTAATGAAAATTTGCGTATGTATTATTGTAAGAAACTACCCATAAAAACCAACTATTACGAATCAATGCATGTCTTGGATATTAATTAAGCAAACTGTGTTACTCAAAAACTATAAGACTTAACTAGTGATACTTATAATATATAGGGACCTATTATATATCAGGTAGTTTAAATTATAAAATTTGAATATTTATAAAATTTAACCACGCATAAATCTCAACATTATTTGAATACTTGTAGCTACCATGTGAGTTTTGAAAATGGTGTACATTTTTGTATATATTTAATGTGAGGTTAGTTTTCAGTTCCAACCTACATGATAAAATATTCAAATCAGATATCTTTATACATAATTTTGACTTTGATCAATGTGACAAATYTAGGTCATCGCGAAGCCATTATGCTACTCTCTAAACACATTTCATTACCAAAACTTAAATGTTGACTTGTGATTCTTAAATTTTACAATATCAACAAGTATCAATTTGGCGGTAAATTCATAACTTCTGTTCACATGGTTAAATACTATAACAGAAAAATTATTATTATTTTGAAAAATTGGATTCTAAATTTTGATCTAAGAATGATGGATTTGCTAAAAAGGGGTTACTACTCCCTTCTGATTGGTGGGACGCTAAAGTTAACCAATTATATGTTCCTACGTATAGTTTGATAATTAGCTCTTGAGGCGTGTAAGCGTAGGAATTACACGTAGCATGAGATCAAGGACAAATGCAAAAGGTTCAGACAAATGATGAACGCCTACTTCAAGCAACAACCTACTCAATTTGATTGTTAAGTTACATTTGCATAAGAAAAGAAACTAAATTAAAAGGTGAAATAGTGGATATAAATTCTAAATGCCTTTTTATATTCTTTATATATTAATTGAGAAAATATTAAGTGAAAGAATCAGAACATATCAATTAAATTAACTACTCAAAACTCAAAACGTTCCAATTAATTTTATATGCCAGGTTGAAAATCTCTACATATTTATATTAATTTTTTAATACGAACTCGTAAATACATATGTTATTGATTTAAATCCAACTAAAATATAATGTTTGATATTTTAAATGTTATATAACATAATGTTTTAACGACTAATCATTTACCGATATCAATTACTTTATAAAAATTGTATTTATATCCATTAGGATACCATATGTGATTGATCATATATTTTTTTTATATTTTTTTGTTTGTATCCAAATTACTCTAATTAAAGTTGCGTTTTTGTTATAAACGTACAACTTTACAAATTAGACTTTAATACTTGAATATCATCATTTTCACTTTTTTATGATTTCTTTTATTTTTTTATTTAAGAAGATTTACTAAATGATGCGGAAAAATAATTCGGTTTGGTGAGCTCAAATAAATTTGAGATAACTCGTATTCAATTTACATTAAAAATGTTTGCATTCAATTTAAGTGTCAAGCAGATTAAATTTTGTAAGGTAAAATATATTTATATATATAGGAAATATAGCATTTGATTTTTGTTGTTTCTAATTTTTTCATATATATATTAGAAAAAAATTATGATCTTTTATTTTCAAATATTCTAATTCTGCGTTTGACTCAGGACAAAAATCTAGTAAATAAATAGAAGGGAGAACCTTAATAAAATCATGTATATAAATTGTAAAGGGAAATTGGCAAAAATAACATAAAAAACTTATAATCTAAAATCTAACCAAAAACCCTACATCCAATGGTTATGATTTTGCCACATACTCCCAT